CACTTTACATAGGCCTACACCAATTCGATTTGCCCTAGTAACTTTTGGGGAAAACAGTTTTGACGATTTTTTTTTTGGGGGGGGAAATTCAGGTCGAGGAAAAAATTGCCAATATTAAATGACATTGCCGATATCCCATATTCCGATTGTTTCACAGACGAGACAACGCCAGGGGGGGTAGCATCGCATCTTGACGATAAATTGTGATGTCTTTCACCTTGCATGTTCACAGAGAGCTATCGGACGGCTATCAAAAACCGCAAATAAACAAAACGGTTGGAAACTAAACTAACATTCACCGTCCTTGCACTTAGGGTTGATTTGAAACTCCAAGAAAACTTCAAACAAAGCAAGATGATAACCAGACTCTTGCAAACACATCGATCGTATCTGAGGGCTGTCATCCTCTTAAACACCATGCATGTTACATTTTGTTCAGATTGAAAAACGGAATGACTTGGGGGGATCCCCCATGACTGTTAACACTTACACTCATGAGTAAGCATGCTTTATGGGGTGCAGACCACTAATTCAAGTGAGAATTTCTGGCCAGTTCATTAACATTAAAAGTGCCCCCCCACAGTATCTTTTGAAAAAGGAGTTTGTTTGGCCCCCAAAATGGTGAGATTGTGTAAATCGTTGCCAGGATCAACTCCCTGGGTTTTTGAGCTTTCATATGGGAGTAGAATGGCTAAAAACTACGGTTGGAAAATGGTCTCAAGTGCCCGAGAAAGTTGAGGGTTGCCACTTGAAAAATGGCTGCATTCAGACTTCGGAAAAATCACTTTTCGGGGGGTGATTTTGTTTTCTGGGTATAATAAATAACGTAATTGGTTAACCCACAAAAAATTGAAAAGAAATTGAAAGATTAGTGACCAGACGACAATTTCATTTGTGTTTCAGAAATCTCAGGGATGTTGGCATGCATGTTATTGGGCCCTGAACGGTGCTGATTTTACAATGTTTTCAATGGGGCTTGAATTAGTGGACTGTACCCTTATCCAAAACGTGGAATAAAACCACGTGGGGCAACGGGATGAAAACAACCTTCTTGGCGAAGACGATAGACTGGGTTAGTAAAGTATAGAATGTTGATTCAAATAGCGCTCATCTGGAGGCGTTTGGCAACTGAACTGCGTGTCGTTAAATGCAAAGGTCAACCCGAAAGAACCGCTTTTGTTTAGCTAGCAGTTCAAAACCGAAAACTGAACAAAAAGTGAAGTGTTATTACACAAACCGTGGACCGATCCCACCCAACAGCACATGAACGAGCAATGGTTGGTGAACGGGGTATAGTGCATGGTAACGCCGCCCCGAGAAAGATGCATACGGCGGTTTCACCGGCTTCTTCATCGACTGCTGATCTCTCAGGATTGTCAATACTCACGGCCGGGGAGAAACAGGAGCTTGGAGGGCGTGACTTTACCTTTACCAACGTCGCCTTCGAGGGTGGCGGGAACAAGTGTTTGTCTACAACGGGAGCTTTGCGGGTCAGTTTTATCCAAACCGCTTACTAGTCACAGTGTTTCCTGCGTTGGAGAGACCTGTACATGTACTTAGAAGTTAGAGCTATTTGAACGGTAGCTCGCAGTGCACAGTGAAACCTGTTATGGGCGCATCCGTGTTTAGGCACAAATCTATAGGAAACGTCGAAAATCTTGTACGGCTTTTGTATACATGTACTTGCATATCTGCATCTATACGCCAAAAACCTAAACGCACAAGCAGCAAGTTTCGTTTGGTCCAGAATTAACCAAAGTTAACAACACAAATGCATGCGAAGAAGAGGTTAAAACCCAGTCAACTCGTGGAAGCTAATCGACAGCTCCCATTGGGAGATCTAATAGGACTGCATTAAGCGATGTTTAGGCGCCTTTCCGTATGCCCGTCAACACTTGCGCCAAGCGTTGCGTATTCGTCAAAATCGCTTCCGGGCGATTTTTAAAGCCAAATGCCACGCACACGTGTGTTATGTTGATGGAGTCGATTTTTGTGTCCGTGACAGTGAAACGCGTGAACGCATCGAGTACGCAACGCACCATAAAAACGTACATTATGGGAGGTGCCTTTACGCGAGACGTAGTCTTACGCGTGACGTGCAGACGCCAGCGTACACATGGCGTTTTGCCGTAGCAATACGCCTTCGATTCACTTAATATTATGAACTCATTCTTAATGAGCCAGCCAACGTCGTTGTCATTATCTATGCAGTTTGAGACTTCGTCATATGATACGCGACGCATTACTAATTGCAGGCTCCCATTGGACGAACACTAAATTTGCGCGTTAACTTCCGGTTCCATGGCTCCATGTATCTCAACCTTGACTCCATGGGCTGCGTGCGCGGTCCTTCATTATATTGCGCAAGGCATGGTGGGAACCAACATGGCGCGGCAAGATCGTACCCATGGGAATGAGGGTGTATGTTGTGCAATGGATGTGGTTTAAGCTGAAGTGGCATGCCTCTGGGTACAATGTCGGCATCTACACATGGCAATGCGTACATCGCATGAAGATAACTTCAAACACAATTTGCTTGTAACGGAGCGTGCCTCCCTTTTTAGGCCCACGGTGAGGCTAAACAAACAATGAAAGTGCTTACGAAAGCCACGCGTGTGTAACAAACACCACTTCCTTGCAGTTTTTATTTAGTTTATCTTTCCGTGCAAATGTGAAATGAACTCGTCAGTTTCAGCGCAGGAAATGGAAAAACCCGATATAGTTTCCCAATATCCAAATGACATCATGTTTAAGACACAAGAAGCCCTCTACGAGGTTATTTCCAGAAACCCCATGTCAAGCTTGAAATCATTTCAAGCAATTAATGATTTTTTAAAAGTTTTTGTAATCTATTCTTCATAGTGGTTCCATATGCAGCTCGAAAAGAGTAAGGCTTTCAGTCGCAAAACTCCCCCATGAACCTAAAAAAGTATATGTGACTACTTCTCCCTCTCTGAAAAACAAGTTGAGAGGTCTTCTGGACAAACGGTTATCTGGAACAAGAGGAAGAACCAGAGAGGAAGAAAGAAGTGAAGGGACGGAAGAAAAATAGCTTTCGCTGTTCAGGAAAATTGTTTTGTTTCGCTGAGTTTTCTAAACTACAAGCGAACAAGACAATCTCCACACCGGGCAACGCTGCAGTAAGGGGTGTGGGTGTGTTCATGGTCTTTCTGCACTTCACATTAAGATTGTGAACATAAATACGGCATAGATGAATCATCATAAGACCCATTTGTCAATTTAGCGCGAATTGTTTGGTCTTCCTCCGTGGAAGCGCTTGCTTCCGTACCAGTAGGCCTAATGCATAACCGTCATAGGAAAATAGGAAGGGCGAGGTCCTTTGTGTAAGAGCAACGGATAAACACTTATTTTTGACCGCAATTATGAGGTCAAGCATTTTTTGATGTCTACTGTGGCTGGTAAGCTAATATTTACACCTGTCAGCAAATAAAACCTATAGGCCTACCAGTTGCAAGCCATGAAACGTTTACAAGAATTCGTGTGCTCGGAATTTCTAAAGTCCTGCCGATAATACGGCAATGAACGACTTTCATGCAACTTGCTATTCATTCGCTTCGGTGTTTTGTCTCTGTCGATGATGAGTTTATGTTGGAGCAGTGAGAGTTTCACTGTTTTGGAAGCAAATAGTACCGGTTATTTGAGGAGGTTAAACACACACGATGTTTACTTCCAAAGAAATTATTGTTCTCGTACAGGTGTGTGCATTATCGGATGGCATTTGTTAACAAATTATAGCTACACCTAAAAATCAGTATTATTCACGAAGCACAAGAAACTCAAAAAGTACTTAAAATTGCTTTAGTGCTCATTGCGTTCGTGCAGGTACCCATAATTTGTAACCCCCCCAAGTTCCTTTAAAAATCCCGAACTTTGGTCCCGGAACGAAAGCATGGTAATATTTGAATGAAGAATGTTTAGTCGGGGCCGATATCTACAAGGTTATAAGCCTAATTTAACCTTTGGGAGAGATTGATATTGATGGTGATAGATGTAAAGGTAAGACAAATCAAATACTACATAAAAAGGAATGCACGAAAGTGAAACTTAATGCCCATAATCTTCCTTTCAGTTCCGGCCCTTCAGTTTTGGCAATCTGTATAGGCCACGAAATACTTCCCAAGTCATAGAGCTCTGTGTTCAGTGATGATTTATTTTAACTGCCACGGGTCAATTGTTATCGCGCGTGGAATTCCCCGGACTGGCTTAGTCCTCATTGCAGGAAATCCGACTTTCCATGTAGTCGCTATGGGGTTCTCCCTTGTGCAGAGAACAGCATTGCTACAGTGGTTGCCTTTTTCTCTTTGCTTTCAATGCATCAGGGGAAATGAATATCAAGATACCAAGAATTTCAGTCCCACAATTACATATAGGCATGATTAAGTAAGTCAATACTAAAATGCACGCTTCGGGACAGATTTAATATTACTTGGGCTCTTGTGGAATATATCATATAGACCGCACAACAGGGTAACTTTGCAAATGTTTATAGACTACACTTGTCTTCTGACTTGATTGTCTGCTGTGAAAAAAAAGAGCTCAAGCATAGGCGAGGGCAAATGTGCCCCACAAGGAAATTATAACGACAAATTATAGTACCGTGCAAGGAAATTCTAAAGACGAATTATGGTACCCCTCATGGAAATTCTAAAGGAAAAGGAAAGTATTTCAGTAAATCACTCTCCTAGACAGTCCTAAATGGTCCTGGAAATCGTGTTTGTAATTGCTTGATTTCGTCGGGGTTCACACTCACCATTTCAGGCAGGCAAACTACTTTCATTCTAGTGGGAGTTTTACAAAAACGACCCGAATATCAGCTTTAATTTTGTAAAGTTCTTCAATCATTGTGTACTTGTTCTATGTTTTGCATTGTTGTACGCGTTACAGAAATTTGCTTACGGTAGATTTAGAGAGTTTTCCTTGTTGGAGGCAAAGCTGTTATGATAAAACCCATTCTGAGCGTTTTCACGTCCTGACCACAGGTTCTTGAAGAGCTGGGTTACTGGGAGAACATCAAACGATTCGCCGGGGCCAGTGCCGGTTCCATGGTTGCTGCATTAGTGGCTGTTGGATGCAACTCGCATGAAATCGAAACCTTCTTACGCGGGGATATTCAGAAAGTCTTTCTTGGTAAGTGCATATGAGGTGGGCAGATGAGGTAATGCGGAAGTACGTCGCAGCTCTCCTAGTTATTTTGCCCTTTCACATTCATGTAGTACATGTACTCTCCAACAGACCGTGGAGCAAGTGGCCCCATGGACAAGATGAGCAAACTAATGCTGTCGTACATTGGAGGACCATTTTCCATAGAAGCCACTCTCGATTACAAGAGCAAATCATTTTTATGTATTCAGGCCATACACACCGTACCAGCTGAAGAGCGTCTTTACTCCAGATTTGCCGATGTCATTTGAGATATTGTCTCACTTTAAGTCTGGTCAAGTACTGTTTTATATATCGACATTCTATATTGCTCTGCGCATTTAGGTGTGCGTCTTGCGCAGTTAGTGAAGTTGTATGATTTATTATCGAGTTCAAATTCCACGGTCTTTTTTACAACGCCAGTAGAGACGTTCAATACGCCAGAGGACGGGTTTGGATAAGCAGATAAGAATATTCCAGACTAATTAAAGATGCCCCCAAGGCCTCCGAACGACATTTATGTCGAAACCTAAGGGATAAAGCAGAGTCAGGTTGGCGTAGTCTTATGATGCTTCCCTAGGCACTCGCCTTGTACTTGAGGCTCTAGCTTGGCGATCCAAGGCTCGAATCCCACTAAGGAAGGCGGCACGTGGGTTGGGTTTTCATTCCTCATACTTGATTCGACTCTTAAATTTTGGAGTATTTATCCACATTTTCCTCAAACCCCTAAGAATATACATACCGTCATGGTCCTTTAGCTGTCATTTATATTCGTTCTTTAATTGGCCCCTAACGCGCTTTTGGATGTACAGTCAAAATTCATTAATGGAAATAAATAAAACTGCTTCATGGCTTAAACTGTACCGACTTGTCTACTCAGCTTAATTTTAACAAAAGGAAGAGAAATGGAGTGTTGATTGTTTTTGTAAGTCTTACCAGTACGTTTACGTTTTGTGTGAGTCCGACAAAAAATTGATTTCACCTAAATAACACTTTCTTTTAATTTTGGTGGTTAAGTTGATTATTCACAATTTATTTCGGTCTCATTTTTTGTTTGCCTTTCCCACGTTTCTTTATTGTCCTCACCCCCAGGGCCCCAGGGTGAATATTTCTTGGGAAGTGAAAGGGCTGGCCTACAATTAAAAAAAAAATGATGAATGAATGACTGAATGAAGGGAGGGACGAAGGGATGGATGAGTACATTTCCAAGAGGAAAACTGTAAATCTAAGTAAACCCTGCCAGCTTTCACCCAGCGATTATTCAGTGTTTTCCTGGTCTGATTCCAGACGCCGCATTTGGTAAACTCAGCCTTCTCCCCAACATGTTGCGGAAGTTCGGCTGGCACCCGGGCAACAGGATCTACGAGTGGTTCGGCGATATAGTCCAGAAGAAGATGGGTAACCGCGACCTGACATTCGAAGATGTGAGCTATGGGGATGGGGAGGGTAGTGAAAAGTCCTGCTCGACACCTAAACTAACAATTTGCATAATATGACCCAACATTGAAGTATTAAATATTTTGCATCATTCTGGAAGGGGGGGGGGGCATCATTTTAAAGCCTACCTCATCAGCCAAGGCGCCCGGTCCCCCAAAGGATCAATACCGTCCGTTCACCTTCTTGGATGAAGAGAGCCCTCTAAAATAGTTGAGATCGGCGTCTTGATAACGAAACTCCTTGATGCCCTGGGGAAAGTTTCGACAATGTTCAGTGACCTGAGTGACTGTGGTCCAATCCAGAAGGTACACGAGAAAATCGAATAAGAGTAAATAAAGGACAAAGATCTGGAAAATAAACCTAAAACATAACGACGTATATAGCGCCGTGTTTAACGCAGTGCATTGTGGGTGAAAAATCGGGATAGAAATCAAAGATGGCGAGCCTTGGACTGGTCCTCGTCCCTACTATATAGGGACCGGCAGCTAGCTGCGGTTAAACGTGTGCGATTAGCCCTGTCAATTTGGATGCTGAATATGTAAGTTTTTGTCAGGCCAATAGCAATGCTTTAACACGAATTATAAAACACAAGTACTTATCCTTGCTACAAGCCTCTGTTGATCACAGTTTGTGGTAAATTATTTTTCGATGATTATCATCGGTTAATCATTTTACGGCAACTTAATTCAAATCAGTGGTTATTGTGTTAAAGTTGAAATGAAGTTTTTTTCGGTAACGAAGATGTTAAAGCAAAATATTCTATCAGCTCCTGCTTAATTTGTGCATTGAGCGGACATTGTTTTCTCATTTACGTACACTCAGCAGGATTCTGCTGGATTCATTACCCGCTACCGGTCCCTATACATTCAGATGAAGTCTGTAAGACTGAAGACGCCCAACGAAATATTTCGCAATGACAGAAGTACTCTAGAAGTAGACTGGCCTTGCTAAGCTCACCAATTTCTTCCTGTTTTTATCTCGGAAAATGGAGGTTTAGAGGAAGGCATTTTCGAAAACTATATAGAGCATGTGTTCTTACTCCTCCATTTATGGAGTCTTTTCAATATACTTTCGAATAAGGTTCTGAGAAGTCTTAAACTGGGAAATTTCAGACTATTTCCATATTTTTTTCTGCGTTTTGAAGTGTTTAAAGCTGTAATTTGCGCTCCTCCTATAAAAAAAACTCAAAACCTCAAAACCACAGTGTAAAACTTGAAGCTGTGAAAGTAGGCATGATAAGCGCTCCCATTATTGCCAAGGAGGATTTGTACAAGGGATCAATTATCGTTTAAGTGGTTGTAAAATTTAAAAGTCCAGGCAATGGCGTTTTCTGTTACACACAGTGTATATGCAGCATGCTCTTCCTGATTGTGCGAAAACAGTGTAGCATCCCTTTGGTCGTAACTGTTAAGTGTATACTGAAAAGTGTATTTTTTCCCAATTGTCCTTGCCTTCACGGAGAACAGCGGCTGTTGTTGCTGTGATGCCAGGAAGGGAATGTATCGCTTAGTTTTTCGTTAAAATACTTCTGAAGAAAGTGTTGTTTGGTGGCTTATTGCCATGCTCTCAAACAACAATGAATCTTCCGGAAAAAAAAGGGAAATACGGAGCAGCAAAAGAGCATAGATCCAGTTGCTTTGTGCACAAATCAATGCAACACTCACTAAAATCATATATAGACAGTGACTGCATGTTCTCTGTGGTATTTTTTCCCTCACACTAGCTATACCAGCAAACAGGAAGGGAACTGTGTATCACTGTGACCAACATGAACATTATGGACTGCACGTACTGCCATGTTAAGACAACCCCCGATATGCCTATCAGACAAGCTGTCAGGATGTCCGGCTGCATTCCAGGTATTTAATTAAAAGTTACAGGCCGCTCTCCTATCGCCTACAAATTCACGCAGGTGTCTGAAGTTTGCAGAAATATTACCCTTGGTTGGTGGCAGGATTTGCCTTCAGATTTTTTCTTTTACCCGGTTGCTTTCCGCATGAAATGAGCATTAGAGCACTCTATTTAAATTCTATGGTTCCCATTTTTGACCGACCCTATTTTGGCTCCCGACCTCGGAAATAAAAAAAAAATCATTTTTTTCTACCAACCTTGCTGAGAGGACCTTGCCCATTATTTAAAACGGCAGGTTCTGATGCCCTGTACAAAAGCAGTGCTGAAAATATACATGTGCGATACGATTTCGCCCAAACATCAACCCAGCGACAGTCGAGATCCACGGTACGGTATCACTACCAGACCGAGCAGCACCGTATCGCGTCTAATGTAGGGGAAAGGGGAGGGGGGTAGGATGGGCCACTTTTCCTAACAACGACTTTATTTCAAAAACCAAACCATTTAATTTCCATTATATTTCTAATCTTTTTAGTAAAGTTATGACTTACTATTCAAAGTTCTACTTGCCCTATTGCTCCACGTGCTTGGGCAAGATAGGACACCGATTCCAAACTCAATTCCCCACTGCTTTATGTACCGATTTTTACCATGCTTTTTATTTGCAAGGCAAGGGATACGTTGTGGTTGTATTTTAATTATTAGTGGTCCGTTCTGGGGTTGGGGACAATTTAAACGTTAAGTCCCTTGGCGAATGGGACTAACTACACGAAGGCATGATATTTCTTTAGCAACATCACACTGTAAAATTTCCTGAAGAATATAAGAACCAAAGATGTTCGAAAAATGTTGGCCTACTTGTAAATACATGAAATTATGATGGGACTGTCCCATCTTGCCCCAGACGACTTGTCCCATCCTGCCCCATATGTATGAAGTTTATTGATGAAACCACTGTAAAATACATGCACAGAGTTGCATATTTCTTGCCCTTCTGACCAAACTACGCAATATTACCACTCTGCACCCGACTGTGATTTGCTGGGGATTCCTAAACATATACCTCCGTGAAATATGAAGTCCCCCAATATCAATTTTTCAATTTTTCCGAGAATACTCAAGACCAACTTCATCTGTTTGTGATGCGAATATGGCCGTCTTTTGTCGGTTTATTCACAGCACTAAGTCACAGCTCCCTCTGTTGCTTGCTGATGAAGTTATCAAGCTGTCCTATCTTGCCCCGTGTCCCATCATGCCCCGCCTTCCCCTGTATGTAGGTCTACATGATACGGTGCGCCATAGGTACCAGAAACACACGGGCACCACGTACACACTCACTGCAAACACGAACACGTCACCGTACCTTGTCTTGACACTGACTCCGACGAGTTATTGCGCTGTGTATCAATACAAATATTTATGTGTACTCGGCTAGAAACAAAGACACTCATGGTACTCAATGTAAACACAAGTCATAAAGTATAAATAGTGTACCTTGCCTGGTTCATTTAATAGTCATCCATATGGCATTGCTTTGGGTTTGTTTTTTTGTTGGAACTTTATGTTTTTTCGACCCACTGGCCTTCTCTCAATCGAAAAAAGATGTGAGAAACACAGGATATAAAAACGGTGAGTCTAATAGACGTGTTGCAATGCTTCTGTTAGCTGACATTGAAAAATAATAATGACAGGTAAAAAGCGTCTGGAGTTCGATGGCTTCGAACTCGAGGATTAGCGGATTATGGAGTGGGTCATTTAAAGTGTACCTGCAATTAATTCTCATTTTACACAGTTTTTCAGCATCTTTGTACTCTTCTTCGTTGTATTAAAACTCTTTTACACTCCTCTATTTGGTTAATGCACTGAAAAGTGCATGTTTTTAAACAATTAAAATTATCCATGCAACTGAGGGCGCTGTTAATGTGAAATCATCCATGGAAGACATTGTTCAACTAGGTGTTTCTGTCCAAATTGTGAACCCAGAATTTACCTACTGAAAACATTTGCTTTTTCTATGCACATGAACAATGAATCAGCAAGGAAGATAAAACCGAGTCCAGGAAAATCTACAAAAGTGCAGGACTTTTTGTGTACAAAGCAATGCAACATTGACGCTTCTTCCTGAGATGACTTCACAGTTTTCTCATGAATATGGAAATCTCATTAGCATAAAACAAAAAGGCATTAAAATACCCTTTCAAATAATGAAACCTAACTTGAAAATAAGGTTAAATGAGGCACAAAGGTGCATTTTGGAGGTTTGTAATCAGAAAAATTGATTGCAGCCACCCTTTAAGCAACTGTAGGCACGCTAGACACTTCAATCGCAGCGTGTGAAGGCTTCAAGAAGGCACACTGCTCCAAAATGTGATGTGATGGTTAAATGGTTTACAAAGGAATCCAGGGTTGAGCTTTTTTGACATTATCAAATTGCTGGTCATGTGAGGTCAGGTAAACGAGTGCTCAGATTTTTTTCTAGGAATGCAGTATTTTAATTGCTCGTTTGTCATTGTTTGAGACATAGCCCATAACAGTGAGGTGACTCTGTCCAGCCAGAAAAAGTGAGGGGCAGAGAGTGATTATTGCCTTCATGTCGCTATCTCTTCCACTTTTTAGTGTGCGTGTCATATGAAGACCCTTGTAATGGGGCAATATTTTGTCACATTCTTCGGTTGTATAGTTGTGAATGTATAGAGAACTCCGCGTCGTTGTTTGACACACACACGAAATATTTGTAATTGAATACTTGGTTTGTTTATCCCTTCAGGTGTGTTTTGTCCTGTGAAAGTTCGGAAAGGGAAGACCAACGACTACTTTGTGGATGGGGGACTGCTCTGCAATTATCCAATACACTGCTATGACGGTAAAAATAACTTTAGATTTGCAGCCCCTGTAATGCTCCGATAACCTATACATAACCTGTGTAAGGTACTGTAGTCCCTACTTCAACCTACTTGACTACATTAATGATGTGAAGTTATCCATACCTTAAATACTTCAGAGAAACTATGTGACCCTTGGTCACATAGTTTCTCTGAAGGTCACATAGGTCACATAGGCAGGACGTCTAAGAACCTTTGCTCGTCACCCAGCGCCCGAACCGTGCGGTGGGGGTCACAGCTAATGACGCACAGAGCGTTGTAGGTAAATTTCTGCCAGGCGCGCGAGCTTGCTCAATGCGTTACAAAAACGGTGGTTATTATGGTGTACTATTTACGACACACATTTCTCTCTCTCTCTAGCCTCTTCTAAGGCAACACAAATACACGACACAACGGCTCCCTTACGTCGTGCCGTCGGGTCGCACCGCCTTCTTACCATAACGTTTGTACACACATGACACGTCGGGCCGTGCGTCGTGTCTTGCCGTCGCCCGTCGCGTCGTGCTGTTTTACGTCCTTTCCCTGTCGCATTTTTCTGCCTAAACGTCGATCCTTCCGTTGCCCGTCGCGTTACACCGTCGTGCGCTGCGTCGTATATCGTGTCGGCCGTCGCGTCGTGCTTCAGGTGACGCAATAGGCGACGCAACGCACGATACGACGACGGTGCGACTCGACGGGCGACGGAAAGGGCGACGTTTAGACGGAAAAAATGCAACAAAGAAAGGTATATTAAATAGTACACCATAGAAAGGACCTAAGACAGCACGACACGACGGGCGACGGCACGACGCAACGCACGACGCGACGCGTTGTATGTGTACAAACGTAATAGCAAGAAGGTGACGGCGCAACGCGACGACACGACGCAAGAGAGCCGTCGTGCCGTCGCGTCGTGTAGCTGCGTCGCCTGGAGGGAGGCTACGGAGAGAGAAATGTGTATTGTAAATAGTACACCATGCACTTTATTCCTTCATCCAAAATGGATGCAGATAACCTTTGACTCGAAATATATGGCCAAAAGACGCGTGATCGGTGATACTTAGTAAGAAGATGAATTACCACACTGTGATTGTACCAAGGCCATGTTTTTATCATTATTATAACAGACACTTTGTCTGTGATTTAGCATTGCCAATGGCGAATCAAAAATTTCGTATAACGTTTCGCTAACCAACAGGAATTGATAACGTGGCGGTCACAGGTCGTGCACAATGTAGCCAATCACATTTCAAAACTACCAGCTCTAATAACCGCCCTGTTTGGGCACTGGGTGACGAGTAAACCAAGAACCAAGATTATGGTGCCTTGCCTTGATGCCCGGCCTTGGCCTCAAGACTGCCTTGAAACTGAATTATGGGGCAAAAACTTCAGCCTTGGTCTTGAAGAACATGGAATGTGGATTTTTCAGTCAATGCCCTTTGAGGTCTAAAGATATGCCTTACATTTGTTTGAATATTTGGCATTCATTCTCTTTGATGGCTGTTGTAACAACAACCTAATATCCTAGTTGTATATGAGTTTAAAGTAAGCTTACACCATCGAAAACCTTGCTTAACTATGTTTGATCGCAATTCAGACTGACATATCAAAGTACGGCCTAAGTATGGCCGGATTTACGTTCATTTCATGTCCGTGTGCGTATGTATACAAGCTGATTAAGAAGAAAATTGTGTGGGTCTATCTCTACTCTTGCTCACCGCTTGAACTGAGTACGGCTGTCTAAAACCCAAGTCGCTCTCAATTAAAAAAAAAAGAAATTGGTTGTGCGCAACTCTGCTGCGCCAGTCTGAACGAGTTTGTTGCTGAAAAAAAAAGGAAAAAAGAAAAAGGTTGAATAAGTTCCTACGGCGTATCATTCCTCCGTTTCAGGTTGGTTTCTGTCCATGGAAAAAGGGGATTCCTTTCTTCGCCGGTTTAAATCCATTGAGGAGCTGCCAAAATTGTGGGAGCCAAAGGAGCGTTTTGGTGAAAGGAACGACAAAACATTCGGGATTCTACTGGTAGGTCGGAGGTACATGTATCATAAGTCCGAAATTAGGAGTAGACCCGATAGTTTAGTCACTTTACGGTAAATCAGGGCGTGACCTATCCTGCATGTATTACCAATTGTAACAGAACCAACTCAAACAGTGTGTCATGCCGAAAATATTACTTTTTCACATCACTTTAAAAAGCAAATTTTTGTCCGTGAAGTGGAAAGGAGCTTTTACACAAGTATAATCCATTGTAAGGAGAGCGTATTTTCCGTCTGATATCCTCAAGTAATTCCTTACGGATTAAGTTAGGAGAGGGCAGACGGACGCGCGCCCTCTGCCTTGGCTACGTTGCTATGTTTGTGTGTTCAGTAGTGTTATTTGCATGAAAGAGGGCGCGCGTCCCTCTGCCTTGGCTACGTTGCCACGTTTGTGTGTTCAGTAGTGTTATTTGCATGAAAGAGATTCACTGGCTGCGCTGCTGAAAAAAACAAAGAATCCTGATAAAATTGAACGGGCAGATATAAACATATGTAGATGAAGTTGCAATTTTTAGATTGAATTTTGATCAAATTTCATGTCAATGATCAATATAGTTCTTGATTTCTTTGGTCAAAAAGAGTGGCGTTTGTAGTTCAGTGTCTTGCCAAGGAACACAAGCACTGTGGCATTGGGGAGGAGTGAACGGAGATACCGACGCACGGGAAGCGAACACCACAACCACTATACATTGGTACTCCACAACCCGATGGGCCAGTGGATTTATGTCTTCCGTGAATTTTTCACGACCTTAAATTTTGCACATAGCCTAAAATGTCAGATTGCATCCCAGATTTTAAAATGTAGGCCTATTTGTTTTGCAAATACTCCACCCTAGGCGCCAGCGCCATTTTCATGGGGCCAGTATTAAAACGCTTGCATGGTGCCTTGTCGTGTTCCATTATATGCATGTTATTCTGTATTCATGAAACAAGCCGTAACGGCCAGATTCAATGTCTGATTCACACCGTGATCTTGTGACTTTACATGTACATTTTATACAATGCAGCCGCATCAGCATCAGCGTCAATTTGTGAAACAATTATTTCCACAGGCAATAAAGGAAACTATCGAAAAGAGAGTTTTTCATAAAGTGCACTTAGGTAATTAGGGGACCAATTTTTTCGTTTCCTGTCACATCTGATATATGATTTTGTGAGTTCAGAACTCATTCTCTAATTTCCAAGAATGATGAAATAATTCAAATTACCTGCCAAACAAATGGAAATAAAATCAATTTCAGTGATATTTCCACATCAAATTACACAGGTCAGGTTTTAAAGGGACACAAAAATGTCACAATTTTGGACCCTGAATTTATAAAAATTACCCACTTATGATTTACATAAAGACGAGGTAAGAACTNAGGTCATTTTTCAAACTACCAGAAGGAGGCCGAATTTTACCGTTCATATTTTGAGAGATGATAGTTTAGGGCCTAAAATGAAAACATACAAAATTTGGTTCAGATCAGATTAGGGAATATTGAATTATGGGACAGTTAATTTGAAAAAAAAATTGTGCACGTTTCTATGGGAATGTCTCCCTAATGACCCATTAGCAGTAATAATTACTGTTTTATCATTATTATTTGGTGTCGGCGGGGTGCTGACCCGCACCCCCTCTCTTTCCGATCCACACCTGGTGAGTACATGGAATTTTTTCATGGAGTTCAAGTACGAGTACATTTTTGTGAGTACAAGTACCAGAGATGTTCTCGAGTACGAGGACTGCAACACTGAATAACATGGCACGTGATGGAGACGCAGGTTTTTTCCTACTGAAAAAAAATCTCTGGGGAAAGTGGGACGATACTGTACAGGACAAGCTCCGCAAGGCCTTCACTCACTGCAATAGTATGAAAGAGGTCCCTAGTTCCACGGCAATTCAGCTGCAGCCCCTCCAATAATACGTGCGTTAAGGGTGTAGAACTTCAACAGCAACCCTGAGAGAATATGAGAGTTTTCTTTTTTCTTTTTTTGTTAAAAAAGATGAATATATATAAAATAAAACATCAGACACAATAAGCATTTTGAGTGTAAAATTAGTTACCCTTTTGCAGGTTGTTTTTTTTGTAAATTTTATGGCAGGAACCTTCTGTTGAGTGCCACAGGGAATATCCATGTTGAAATTTGTTATCATATGTTTTGCGACGAGAATGGTCATAATTATAATTATATTTCAAATTAACATAATGTTACATAAATTCCAAGGACGGTTTAAGGTTCCATCAAATGCAGTGTTCCAGCAGTTTATACGTGCAGTTCGAAAAACCTTTAGTTGCTATATTTTTTCATCTCAGGCTATTACACCCTGGCCCGAGCTTATTTGAAGATTCATGGTGAGACACTGGATGTCAACTTGAGGTTGACATTCTCATGCCAAGTGCAACGTCGTTTTTCCCACCATGCCCAATACTGTTTGGTTTCGTTTAGTTTTGGTTCGGTTGGGTGGATCGGATTGGCTCGGTTCGGCTCAGCTTGGGTTAGCTCGGCTCGGGTTGGGCCATCTCGGGTTGGGTCGGCTCCGGTCGGTTGGGTTGGGTTGGGCCCTTTGTTTCCTTCTACAATACAGGGTTTGTGATCAGGACATTGTGAAGTTAGCATGGCTTGTGGTATGAAGTTTTCCGAAAGTAGCTACCGGTGTACCAGTGCCGTGTAACAGGGTTAGGTATTCCGTCGGAAAACTTTGGACCGGCCTGTAGGATGGGGGTACATTTCATGGCCATTTTCTAATCAGATTGCGTGTTTTCTGTTTTGTCTTAATCAGTATGCTGGGAATGAGAGAGAGGTAATGAAGCAGGAGCTGATGGATCGCTTCGACAAGTTCATCAAGCCGTCGGAAAAGCAAGAATATCCGCCCACAAAACTCGCCAAGTAATGCTTGAGAGATATGTGTGAATATTTAATTAAGTGGAGTGAAGGAGCACTCTTAAAGGATTACAGAAATAGAAAACATGTAGTTCACGTGAAGTATTTCAAAATAAATACTTCAAAAACAGTATAAATTTTATGTTTATCCCATTAATTGTGACCCCAAAACGAATCCAAAGTTCCTGCGTTTCCCTGCCTACAAAAAATCCTCTTTTGGCCGTTCGCGCTCCCAGGCTGATTGGATGATGTCATCGCCAGAACAATGATACAACGATTCCCTAACACTATCAATCCTCCATTTCCTAAATTTTTGGGATATGTAATTAGTGATGTGATCTTTGGAAACCAGTTACATATTTTAATTTGTCAGCCTTTTGTCTTATGCATATAATTAATGAAAATCCCGCACTTTTGTCAAAACAGATTTATTCCCAACACGGGCGATTCACAATAGTGCGCCAACAAGAGGTGGCAATACATTGGCCAATCATAAGACGCGAAATTTGTCGACCCTTTCCAAACGCGCATTGGGTCGACAAATTTCGCGCATTGTAATTGGCCAACGCGTTGCAAATTCTTGATGGCGCACTATTGTGCAACGTCCGTAATTTAGGATGTCTGTAACTGGAGTAACGTTGTCACGATCAATCGTTAAATTGCCAACAGTTTATTGAGTTTGCGCACAAATAAAGGGAAGACTCGAAATGTCTACATTAGAAAACAACACAGATTGTATAGAATATGTCAACAATGACAGTTTAAATATTAATGAAAATATGGCCGTAAAAAGCCAATTATCCCTCCCCAAAGAAAAATCTCAAGGTATTTTTTTTCCCATTATTTTCGACTTTGGTAAGACGACATGTGAAGGATTTTCGAAAATCACGTTCTGCATCAGTAAATAAATGATACGAAAAACCAAGTTATCTTTTGGCAACAGGAAGCGGGCAGAACTTATGAAGGAGCAAGTCATCAAAGCTAAGGAGCACAGGTTGCTCGTGACGGCGTTTTTTAATCTAATGAATGTACTCGAAGAGAACGACATTGACCAAAGCGGGACCATCAATGAGCAAGAATTCGAGAAAGCCATGAACCAGGTGAGGAACACGGGTGTGTTGAGGTTCGATCGGGACCCATGACCCATACTGTCGTGTTTCCGCGAATTCATTAAGATGTCACAAACGTATAGAGTAATGATTTAAGAAGATGATGTACAGTATTTGCCACCGCGCAATTCCTCTTAGCTGTCAGCACAGGCGGATCCGGGAATGTTTCCACCGGTTGTCAGGACTGTAAGATTTCTTAATGTGCGGTTGTTGCGGACACGAGGACACTTAATAAGGTTCGCAACCCCGTTGCCAAGCAAATGCTCAATTTGCTTCTTTAGTGTTGAAGAAGAGGTATCTCTACTTAGTGTATTAAGATTCATACAGTTATTAATAGTTGCTCGAGATTTTTAAACACTTCATGAATCAGTCCTTTTTTGTATAAAAGGCCCACCATATTTTGTAAAAACCATGCGACTTTGACGCAGGAAGAGAAAACACTTAAGTGCAGATAATTATTTAGGATTAATGCCATATTAGCCTGCAAGGTATTTTCATCACATATGAAGTTCTATTTACCTGTGTGGTGGTACACGGTGTGCAAGAGGGATGTTTGTCAGGAACCTTGGGAGATTTAACTGGAGCATTTGTTATGGACTTTTTCAGTGGTTGCCAAATGGGAATGTAGTTTTGTGATGTTCAATTTCACTGCTACACAGACAAGCTCAGACTTCACGGAAGAAGACAAGAAACGGTTATTTGGAGATGACTTCAGGGACACCAAGGCGTTGTTCAAACGGATGGACATCCACGCAGATGGCGAGGTACGAAAAGATTTTTTTTTTCAAGTTTCGTCAAGTACGATGATGTAGCAAACTTTTCGTATCATTTATGTCAGAAATGCTGTACATTTAGGTTAACTCACCTTAAACATAAGTTAGCCATCTGTGAATATAAACTACAACGACCACTGTGACTTTGTCAAGCAAATTTGATAATAGTACGCGTCTTGGACTTACCTGGTCGTCAGACTGACCAATGTTTATTGGGTCAAAATCATGATGCCTTGACCAAGCACAGTCATAGTCACATTTTTTTAAAGAATTGTTTTTATTATTAAATATTTCCAACGTCCTTTGGTATGTAGAACACTATGTTAAAACATATTTTCAATTATTGTGGTCTAGTGTCTTTTATGTCTTGTTTGCATCGTTTGGTTTCAGGGTATGTGAACTCATTCATTTCCTTTGCTTGACATATGAAGCGACATATGAGACGGGGAGAACCCCCCCCCATTTGTGTTAGTCATTGTCTCACTGGAATCCAAGGAATTCTTTTAAGACATCTAGGGGGATGTGTTAGGTAACCACAGTCTAGAGTGTGTATAGCGATTGCACATGTTGGGGGGGGTACCCCATGGTCTCATTTCTTGCTAGATATATTGCTTGATTTTTTCCCTGTGTGTCCATACATTTAGCCAAATGTCAGCTACCATCAGACTGAGGAGCATGATCACAAGGGTGTCAAAGATTTTTCCGGTTCAGCACAATTTTCCTTGAGATTGCGTCAATCTACATACAGTTTAAAGAAAATACAATTTTTTTGTCCCTTTTTTCTTTGAGCTCAATATTTTTCAGGCCAATACTTTCTGTGAAAAATAAAATTTGTCAGTGTTGAAATTTGCTTGTTTGGTGAAAATCAAATGGCAAAATTGCGCTCGCTCTATGCTCAGAAGAAGCTGGCATGAGTAATTCCCAGCGTATTGACGCTGATGTAATGGAATGAAATGGAAGACTTGAAGGAGCCGCTGCTGTTTCTGTACAGTCTGTTTATAAACAACTTAAACCGCAACTGGAAGGCCATTCCTGCTGTCGGTGATACACCGTTATTTTTCCAGCCATCACGCTGTTGTTGTTATTTCTGTGGACATCATTCAGCTGGCATAATAATGAAGCAGATCGCAATACGTCTCCATATTATTATTCCTCATTATAATTTTTACTGACGCACGTAATGGACCCATGGTCAAATGAGGTAAAAGCAATATCTGTATGCCTCATTAATTTTTTAAAAAGCAGCTTGCATAATAATGAAGCAGATCGCAGAATGCCTCCATATAATTATTCCTCATAATATTTTTCTTCTGGAGCTCTCAGTGGACCTATGGTTGGAAAGGAATTATGCGTCATTAAGTTTTAAAAGCAGCTTGCATAATAATGATCCGAACCTTAACTTTTTGCCATCATTAATTTATTGCGATGGATAAGGAGGGGCAGTAGGATAAAACGGCAGCGCTTTAACAATCTCCCGGTGAAATGTCTTTTGGGAGTTTTTATAGCTTAATGTGATTTTCCAAGTACACTCCCAAGTTCTGTTAGGAGACCTATTTTTTCCATGTCAAACATTTCTCTAGCGATAATATTTTGCTTTTTCTTCGATTTCTTGGCGGTTTTTAATTTCTTGAAGTTCGGTAGATCCATGCATTCCAATTTTTCCTTGAGTTGATAAAACTTCTTAACCTCTGACCTAATTAACACAAATGCTTCGTGAGATATTTCTCCGTCGTTAATGGCCTGAAAAACATGTTCTTCTATCGTGTTTAGTTTGGCGCCAGCCAGCACTCTGATATGGTCGTGTTTTTTTTGGACTTCACCCGCAATCGTTTATTGGCGTGTTTTAACAAAACGAGCCCAGCAAACGCACGGAGAACAACCCCTTCCACCACTAAGCCTACGGGGGCGCTCAAAACACCCAACATTGCAGGGATACCCACAGCTGCGTTTGCCACACCCAAGGTTTAGACTCCATGTTCCACGTAGCCTAATTTTAATGGATAGTCGTTGTATAAGTCGTGCAAGTAATGGGAGTAATCGAGATCTACTTCGAGTAAAAACTATACGGGTGCAGACCACTAATTCAAGTAAGAATTTTTGACCAGCTCATTAGCATTAAAAGTGCCCCCCACAGTATCTTGGGAAAAAGGAGATTGTTTGGCCCCCAAAATGGTGAGATTGTGTAAATCGTTGCCAGGATCAACTCCCTGGGTCTTTGAGCTTTCATATGAGGGCAGAATGGCTGAAAACTACGGTTGAAAAATGGTCCTAAGTGCCCGAGAAAGTTGAGGGTTGCCACTTGGAAAATGGCTGCAATCACACTTCGGAAAAATCACTTTTTGGGGGGTGATTTT